ATGTGGGGCTTGATCTCACGACCGTGAGATCATGACCTGAAACCAAAAGTTGGAGCTTAACTGACTGTGCCACCAGGTGTCCCTGCTTCTCTCTCTTTTGAATGAGAACTTTACTTTCTTACCATCCTCAAAGCAGTACCTGTACTGCACTTTTTTCCTGCACTCCTTATTCTCAACTATTTCCCAGCTAATTTTAGCCATTAGAATTATTTGTATTTATTTCTTAAATTTTATGCCCCACGACAAAGGAGAAATTTTAGAGCATGGTGTTGAGTATCAGGCACTAAGTAAGCTTTCAATAGATACTTGTTGGATAAGTGAATTTCCTGTTTCCCATTATACTTAGTAGTTAATTCTTCCTTCCATTAATTGGATCTTGAAGTTCCTGTAAATATAAAATGTTATGGCCATTAATGTGATTTAATTTATCAGATTATCATGTAAACAACTTTTCAGGACTCTTATTTCATGAGTATAGTGTAACGAAACCATTATATATCACAAATTTGAAAAGTATGTCATTTGCATAATTACATTTATGAAATTACAATTAATTTTATGTATGAAACTTTTCTACTTATAACAGTTTTAGATTGGTTTAAAAATACTAAATTTTTTATCTTGATACATTTTAACATTTGCAATCTTGGAATTGTTACATATTTGAGGTTTTAGGGCATTTAAAGAACTATTTCCATAAATGTAAAAAAAATACCCTTTATGCTGAAATATGAAGATTGCTGTAAACAGAGGACATAAATATTATTCTCTCTCATAAGCTATACTCTCTGCTTTGTGTTTTCACTAATTTTACCACATTTTTGTGGCAAACCTGGAAGATTATTTGCCCAGTTTATAGATAAGGAAACTAAAGCTTGGGAAGGAGATGACCTGGTCAGGCAGGGATTTGAACCCAGGTCTTTGGACTGTAAGCCAGTGTTCTTGAGGAATCATCCAAGAAAGGAACTCTTCAGTAATGAGCCAAAGACATTAATATTCCATTTGATTTCTGAAAGTGAGTAAGTAACCCATGAAAAACTCATAAGAGCTATGGAAATGTTTCTTAAGCTAAGGCTTAAGACTCAAAGTTTGAAATGGATTCTTATCAAAGACTCACCCCCTCATTATACCTTTCAGTCCTCCATGTAGATATAAAACATTACAAAACAAATATTTACTCTAATTCCATGGAAAGACTACATCCTAGCTGTGATCCCATTGCACAGTTACTTATTATATATCTATTTAATTCTAATTTCCTTCCTCTTTATTTTATCAGTACTTGTTTTTTCATGTCTGCCATCATGCATTGTAACTTCTTTGAGGTCTTATCTGTGATTGCTATCTCCTACCTTGTTCAGTACTTTATACATAAAATATACTTTAATAAATGTTGAATAGTATTGGGTTATAGCATTTAAAGTTCTCTATAATGTGCCCCTTTCCACCTCTAAGATATTCTCCCCTATTGCTTTCCTATAGAGATAGCCAAGTTATCATACTCAGTGTGCATCTGTCCTTTCTCCTTTTCCCCCACTCTTAATGCCGTTTCTCTTTCTTTACTTATGGCCTTGGTTCCAGTCCCACCTCCTCCATGAGACTTCCACCATTCAGACCAAAATCGTTGAATATCCTTCTGCATTATTGTCATTAGGATATATTTGACACAGCATATCTCATCGTCAGTTATCTTTGTGTTTATGCCACATCTCATCTAGATTGTGCATTCAAATCCCTGTACCTCTCTAGACCTGAGTATGAGCTAACATGTGGTTCAAAAGATTCTCAGTGAATATTCTGATAAATAGAGGAAAGTGCTGTATTTAAAATATTGCTGACTAGTTTGGGGAGAAAATTTAGTAAACAAAAAATGAAGTGCTCCTAGCCAACATGACTCAGTTGGCGTTGAAATTGATGAAGAAGGGTGCCTGGATGGCTCAGTCGGTTGGGTGTCTGCCTTCGGCTCAGGTCATGATCCGGGGTCCTGGGATAGAGCCCCAAATGGGGCTCCCTGCTCAGTGGGGAGCCTGCTTTTCTCTCTCCCTCTGCCCCTCCCCCCGCTTGTGCTCTCTCTCTCTCTCTCTCAGATATATAAAGGAAATCTTTAAAAAAAAATTAACAAAGAAAACAATCTCTCTAGCATAAGCCAAGGAGCTCGTATTTGGATATAACTCTAGAAACAGCATTACGGCCTTTTTCTTTCCCGTAAGTCTCTTTTATATATACCCTTACATTTGTTGACCATGGACCTCTTTGATCTTTTTTTAACATTTACTGTGCTTTTACTTTATCTCTGTGAACAGCTAACAGTGGAACAATTTTCGATTTTTTATTCAGTCTAGATCACATATTTCTTAGTTATTTGGGACTGTAAAGCCATTTGAATCACATGCTGTTTGGTTCCGGGATGAAAGCTTGATTCTCTCAGCTCACTGCTGACTCATATGTTGCTATAATTCTGGAAAGCAGTGAAAATTGTGGTAGTGTTGAAGCAAAAAGTTGTGTTGGACTGGTAGTTAATAATAAAGGACTTATATTTATGGTATAACTAATTCATATACCTAGACATTCTACAAAGTACTTTAAATTGTAGAAGATCTATAAGATAGCTATTATTAACCCTATTTTATATATGAAAGATTAGGTGGCTTTCCTAAGATCAAATTGACCTCCTTAAATGTCAGATATTGATGAAATAATACTGCTAGAACATTGGCTCATAAAGGCAGAGACCTTGTTGTGTTCACTGTCATAGTCGCATCACTTAAAATAGTGACTGGAGGGTTAAATATTTATTAAATGAATGCAATTCCCCTCTCTCATTCTTTCTTGAACTCAACTCCAGATTTTTTTTTTTTTTTTAAGATTTTATTTATTTATTTGACAGAGAGAGACACAGCGAGAGAGGGAACACAAGCAGGGGGAGTGGGAGAGGGAGAAGCAGGCTTCCCGCAGAGCAGGGAGCCCGATGAGGGGTTCGATCCCAGGACCCTGGGACCATGACCTGAGCTGAAGGCAGACGCTTAACGACTGAGCCACCCAGGCGCCCCTAACTCAACTCCAGATTATCACTCCCATCACTCCATCAATGCTACTCTTGTTGTTACTGATGACCTTCCAATTGCTAAAATACAAAGGTCCATTCGCAATCTTTTCTAGTTTGATTTATCAGCAATATTTAACTTAGTTACTCCCCTTACTTGAAATGCTTTCTTCAATTGACAACACATTCTCCTGTTTCTTCCCCTTCTTCCCTGGTCACTCCTTAGTCTCATGTTTACTTCTCATCTTCTCAGCCTCTCAGTAGTAGTGTATTCCCAGGGCTCTGTCTTGAGATGTTTTCTTCTATTTATGCTCTCTTCCTTGATGATATCATCCAGTGCCCTGTCTTTAAATACCATTTGTATCTTTATCCTGGACTCTTCTCCTAAATTCTACTCTAATATGTTGGGTGACTAATAAATTGATATGTGAAGTTCAACATGTCCAAAAACAGACTCCTAACATTTACTCTTCCATCCTTCCAGTTGGAAGAGTATAACTAAATCATACAAACTCAACTTTTCAGGTTGATTAGGCCAAAAGACTGGTGTTATCTTTGACATCCAGTCCATCAGTAAATCCTGTTGACTCTATCTTTCAAATGCCTTTTGAGTCTGATCACTTTTCACCTCCATTGATTATTACTCTAATCCAATCCAGCATCCTTTTCCATATTTTATTATAATCATTTCCTAGCTGATTTCCCTGCCTTGCCCTTGGCCCCTCTTATAGACAGTTCTTAACATAGTAGCCAGGGAGATCTCATTTTTAAAAAAAAGTCACAGCATAGAAACCTAAATCCTTAAAATCTACCTTTTTAACTTCAACGCCTACTATTTAGTTCAGCCTTGTTGGCTTCTTTGCTATTTCTAATATACCAGGCTGTGCTCTCCACTGCACCCCCATAGGTGTGTTTATTTACATTTATTTTTCTCTCTTTCTGGAATGATCTTCCTACAGATGTCCCCATGACTTAGGTCTTATGGTCTTTACTAAGGTCTTCAGGCCTTTACTCCTTAGGTCTTTACTAAGACGTTCTCTTTCTCTGTGAGGTCCCCATTGATTATCCTATTTAAAATTGCAGCTTCTTCCCTCCATACCCCTCCCACACCACCCATCAGCACTTCTTATCTCCTTTCCTGCTTTATTTTCTTCTCCTGGTATTTACCATCCTTAGACATGTAGATCACATATTTCTTAGTCAGTTATTTGGGACTGTAACTGAGCCATTTGAATCACATGCTATTTGGTTCTGGGATGAAAGCTGCTCATTAGTAGAATGTAAATTTTACTAGAATTGAAGCTCCACATAATAAGGGTAGGAATTTATTAATTTTTCTATCCTGATTTATTCATTTGTCCCCAGAACAAATAAATCAATGAATGAGTATTAGGATAGAATTCTGTTCTGTTTGGCCTCATAGCTAAACTGGGCTATAGTTAGTTTCTGTGTATTGCCCTTTGTTTTATATGTACACCCCTACCTTTACCCCACCACTACTCAAAAGGCCTTGGAATTGATAAAGTTTTATAAATTTTAGACATGTGGAATGAATAATCCAGATATATTTAATATTTAATCTTACAGTGAAAACGATGACTGCTACATTCTGAAATTTACCTTCAAATATAGCTGTGGCATTATACTTTTTTTTATTTTTTATTTTTATTTTTTTTAAAGATTTTATTTATTTATTTGAGAGAGAATGAGATAGAGAGAGAGAGCATGAGAGGGGGGAGGGTCAGAGGGAGAAGCAGACTCCCCGCTGAGCAAGGAGCCCGATGTGGGACTCGATCCGGGGACTCCAGGATCATGACCTGAGCCGAAGGCACTCGCTTAACCAACTGAGCCACCCAGGCGCCCCTATACTTTTTTTTAAACTCTTACAAAGATTCTTAAGGTTGTATGTATAATATTACCACATTTATTATGTGTATGCAAATATTTTTTTAAACAGGTTATCAGGACACCCCATGGGAGAGACTTTGATGACTCTTTGGAAAGGTGTGATGAGTATTTAAGCTCACGGTCATGTAGCAAGCCACAGCATTCAGCAAGGACCTTACTCGTCCATTCAGCACCCTCAACAATGCCGAAGCATTCTCCAAGCCCTGTGTTAAATCGAGCTTCTCTCAGGGAAAGGTAATGCTTAGTCTCTCTTTCTATACTGATTTTTTGAATAATCATTATTAGAAAAGACAAGGCAGCAATTATGTATGTGAAATGATTATTCATACAAGTATAATTTGATTTTAAAAGGCTTACTTTTTGTTTAGAATATATTACATATTATATAGTACTACATACTCCTCCCCAACCCAGTCCTCTTGAAGTGAGTTTATTAACTATTGGTGAGTTTATTAATTAGAGTCACTTTAACCCTAATTAAATACTGTAATTCATAAAAGTGAAAAATAGTGCATGTTGGCTTGTTTTCAAGAGATTCATAGGGACTTAACATTATGGACATGGCTAATGTATAAAAATAGCATAGATTATACATTCCTTTTAGTGGTAATGATGATGGCATATATTGTTGGTATATGGTAACTGATTTCCTCAAATAAACCCTCCCCAACTACCCGGGAGAGTCTTAACCATGTAAAGATTCCAGCCTCCCTCTAAAAAAGCTTTGACAACCAAAGTTAGATACTTGTTATAATTTGAATGTGAAAGAAATAATTCCTCTTTGTCTGTTTTTGTTGTTGTTAAATTCAAATTGGATATTCCTTGCCTCACTCACTAATAGTAACATAGAAAACAGAGTTGTCATAAATTAAAAAAAAAAAAAAAAAAGCCCACCCTAGGTAGTTTAAAATTTTTATAGAAATTTGAACACCTAAGAGAAATGCCATCAACAAATGGATATAAAATCTATCTTTACAGATGGTATCAAAAAGGTAATGTAACACACTAAATTTGTACAGCTTATTACAACTGTCAGACATAATTGACAAAATTTAAACTAACTGTATAGTCTGTCAAAAAGTTCATCTCAAAACTGATGATTTGAGCAAGAGTGTATCAGTTTGGAAGCTGTATTAAAACATCTCTATTCTGAACAGATAGCTTTGTCTGTTTCCTCATTAGCCCTGTAGCATTCAAATGGATCTATGGAGGTCTGCTGGAGACCCTAATCCTCAGATGGGGAATTTTGATTAATGTTGCTTCTAGGCCATTAGAATCCTGCCTGAGGGATCATGGAGTTCATAGATAGAGATGGACAGATAGATTAAAAGATCTATCTCTATATTTTACGAGAGAGATACGTATCTCTGTTTCTATAGGCTTTAAAGTTCAAGAGAAACTTTTGAGGAGAGATTTTCCTGCTGAAGTCTGGTAACTTGTGTCTCAGTTGTCAGGGGACTTTCTCTAATTTCCGTGTCTGCTCAGATGTTCAGACATGTAGTCAGTGCTATTCTCTTTTTCCTTACTTTAAGAATTAAGCCCTTGTGGTTTTATTCTTTGGGTTCTTTGCCATCTCTGTAGGTTTTCAGGAAATTTTTTACCTATATCTCCTTGGATATGTTTTTATAAACATTGTTTTATTTTTCTGCCTTTTCACATCTTTTGCACAGCTCCACAGTTGTCTCTACCGCTGTAGTACAATATGAATTTTAGTCCCATGTTATTTTGTCCTTGTCTGTAATTTTGTCCCAGCTTTTGAAGCCTGTCTTCCCTAGTTGATAAATTCTTCATTGAGGCTATACTCAAAAATTCTTTACTGGGGTTAGCTAAAGTCAACTGTCCCTTTTTCATATTCCAGTTCAGGTGATGGCTTCTAGTAGTGAGCCGCATTTACACATTTATTCTGATGCTTGGTAGTAGATGTAGTTAAGTTCTTTTCTCGAAGGAAATGAGTAGCTCTAATATTAAACATGACCCATTTCACCTATCACTTGAGGAAGGTTGAGGTGCTTTTAAAATAAATTATTTTAAAATAAATAAAATAAAATCTAAATAAATTAAACTTTTATTGGGGTACTCCTTAGGATAAACTTTTTTACTTTCACTAAGGTAGAACACCTCTACTTTGAGTGTATGTTCTAAAAAAGATTTAGACTTAGTTACAAAAGAAAATAAAATGTCTGTAGGACATATTACTAGGAACAAAAACATGTCATCCTTTTCAGTACACTCAGTACCGAATATAAGGTGTTCTTATATATAAGACGTTCTCTGATATGGCTTTTTAGGTTACTGAGCAGTACACTTACAGAGTGTTTATAAAATCCAGTGGAATCAGTAAACAATTTAAACTGGTATAAATGTAGATTGTATGTCCCCAGCAAAATTGGGAGTATGACAAAATATACAGCTATAGGAGGTTATCTGGGTAGTTATTCATGAAGATGAAGTAAGTTTTCCTCTAAGATTACTGTAAAATGTTGACTCCTTAATCATGTATGTGAATAAACAGACTTTCAAAAACTCTATTAGTGACTGTAAGCAAATGAATTTCTTTATTTATAGTGAAGGTGCTTTTTGCTTTAAGCCCATTTAAAAAAAAATATTTCCAATAGAGTTAACACACATAAAATGGTTGCAATTTTTATTATAAGTGTTACATTTCAGAGGCAGTTTTCTCCTCCAAGTATAAATATTAATATTATGACTTATCATTTGTATTAGGCTGTAGAGTTATTACTAAAATCAGACTAAGAAATACTTGCAAATCTAATTAAAAAGGAGCTGATATTCCTTTTAATCATGCTTACAGTTTTGAATTTTGTAAATGAAGTTAAAGATTGTTAGGCAATCATTTCTTATACCACAGCACAGACTAGTGGATCCTCTCATAGTACACTGAAGAGATCCTCTTGGAACTAAATATTTGGATCTCAGGTTTTCAAGATGGGTTACATATGTAGCAAATAACAAGGTCAGACAATATACTTGTGTAGATGCAGTGACACTTCCTTTTACAAATGTAGGATATTAAAATTTAGATATAGTTAATCATCCATTATTGATTACAGTCTTTGAAACAGATTATGTAAATCATTTTTCCTGCTTAATAGTTTATACCTTGTATAAACATAAAATTATAACTTTGCAAGAACAAGCTGGGAGAAAAAAAAAGCAAAGATGTAAGCAGTTAGCATTTTAGTACCCATTCCTTTATGAAGGAATTATCAGTAACACTTGATATAGATGAATTATAATCAGATGGACCTGGAGGTTTTCATTATTAGTTGTATAAGGTAAATAAAGTAGCTTAGTTAAACTAATGCCAGTTTTGAGTTTGGGAAGGGCATCAGAAAGAAGAATGGTTGCTCTGTTTCTTCTGTAATTCCACAACTCAGATTTTAATAAAAGTCACATTTTTCCTTTCCTGTTTTTCAATATTCACTTAAAAAAAACACACACACACTTACAGGAGAGACTAGAGGAGTGGTATCTGTGCGGAGAGGGGATCATTCAATTTTTATGTTCCTCTATATTTTGAGGGAGTAAGAACATGATAGGATTCTAAATAATATTTTCATCTATTTAAACATTTTATTCATTTCATAAAATTAGTTTTATTTTTCTGTATACAGAAAGGAATTTCTCCCACATAATTTAAGAGAGTGGGATTAAATTACTGGAAAATAAGAACTAATTTTAAAGGCACTATACATGGAATTATTGTTCTAATCTGAACATCTGTATCTTTATTTAGAGGTAAAGCTCTAAAGACTTATGTAAGGAGATCATTATGCTCTCCCTAATTCACGCCAAACTTTGTTAAGACTACTTATTGCACATATTATAAAGACTTAATACTTCTGCAGAGGATCAGTGCCTGATTTTACATCTGCCTCTCATCCTTGGTCAATGAAGAAAATATACTATTTTAATCTTTCTATGTTATCACACAGGGATAAGGAAAAAATGACTTTCTATGTCTGGCATTTGGAAAGATTTATTTTTCTCTCCCTCTGACTACAAGTCACCTTTGTTTTTTATGCCCACAGATTCCATTCTGATTGGTGTTCACCTTCAAACTGCGATGAGATCCATGATCGGGTAAAAAATGTCTTGAAATCACATCAGGCTCATCAAAGACATTTATATGTTAGTTTCTAAAATTTTCTCTTGAAGGCCTTTTCTAATTGGGCAAGAAAACCAGTGAAGATGCTTAAAGCTTATAATAGTAAATCACTGGAAAGAGAAGAAAGAAAGATACAACCTCCATTCAATGGAAGTCAGTGGTTTTGCTAAAGGCAACTTCTCTAACTTCCTGCTTGACCGGAGTCATTATGCAAAATGTTTGACATCATCTGAACTCTAAACAATGTTACTAATAATTATCTCAGAGTCAGTAAGTAGAGACTTTATGATAATTATTTTATAGCCTTCAAAGTGTGGAGACTCTTTTGTGGCCCAGTATAAAACAATTCCATTTCCCACAAATATTTTATTTTAAATGGTAGAATGAGGGGAGGTGGGGTGAGAAATAATTATTTTGAAACAGCTTCCCAACTGATTTTTATGTTAATTAAATATTTAAAAGAGGAAAAGAGCAGGTCAGGTTTACTGGGTTTAATATTAGAGAACATCAATAGGAGAATATTTTCTGAGGTAAGGCAAATAAACATATATATGAAGGACAGCTGGGGAATAATTACAGTGTATTCTTTTTGTGTTTGATTTTTGTTTGTTTGTTTCATTCAGTAGTTTAAAAAACAATCATTTATCATGAGTGTCATGTTGGGTACTAGGCTTGGTCCTGATGATATAACTGGATTATGTGACATTCCATCAGTTTGTACAGTTTTAAGTTGCTATATGCATACTGTTTTTAAATTAAGCTTGTTTTCAAAGTACAGTGTATATATATGTAGAAAATGCACAAATCATAAGTAACAAGTTTATAAATTATAATAAATCAGCACACTCTTTTGTAAACCATTTAACAAATCAAGAAATAAACTATTATCAGCTCTGCAGAAGCTTCTCTTCTTTCCTCTCAGCTACTGCCACTCCAGGGGTAAAAGTTATCCTAATTTTTAATAGCAAGATTAGTATTGTGTGTTTTAATCTTTATATAAATGAAATCCTACAGTATCTACTTTTTTCTCTGACTTGTTTCACTTTGACTTTGCAATTCAGACTTCTTTGTACTGCAGACATCTTGTATTTAGCAATAGTTCTTCACTTTTGCTCCTGTATGGTATTTTATTATATGAAAATACTACTGTTCACTTATTCATTCCTCTGTTGATGGACATTTGGGTTGTTTCTGGTTTGGGCTATTATAGAGCTGCTATAAGCATTTTATGCATACTTTGGGTATCATTGTATTCTTATTAAGATATGTATGTATTCTTCTTTGGGTATGTATGTATTCTTCCTATTTGGAATTGCCCAGTCATAGGGTATGTGTACATTCAGCTTTAGAAGGTGCTGGCAAAGAATTGTTCAAGTGATTTTACTACCTGTGTATGAGAGTTATACTTGCTCCACATCCTTTCTGGTACTTAATTGGCGTGTGTGTGTGTGTGTGTGTGTGTGTGCGCCTGCTTGCGCCTGTGTGTGTTTTCATTTTGGCCTTTTGGTAAGAAGTAGTTTATCATATGATGGTTTCAATTTGCTATTTCCTGATGACTAATGAGTATACTTATTGGCCATTGGATATTCTCCTTTGTGAGTGCTTGTTCAAGTCATTTGCCAATTTTTGTACTGAATTGTCTCCTTTTGGTTTTTTGTTGAGAGTTCCATATAGATCCTTGATATGAATTTTTAGGTATATGTTTTGTAATTGTCTTTTTTCACTCTGTGCCTTGTCTTTTTATTCTCTTAATGACATTTTTGATGAAAAGAAATTCTTAATCCTAAGGAATTCAATTCATTATAGTTTTTTGTTGTTGATTAACATTTTTAGAAATTTTGTGTACTTCAAGACTTTCTCCTATGTTTTCCTCTAAAGGCTTTCTGTTTTATTTCCCATTTACATATATGATCTGATTAAAATAATTTTTTCTGTATCATGATAGATAGATATCAAGTCCCAAGAAAGGTTTAAGCCTCAAGATTTCTTTCTTGTTTTGTTAATTTTATATATTTTGAAGCTATGTCATTGGTGGGATACAGAACCTTTTATTGTGAAGGTTCTTCATCTCTAATAAGATTCCTTGCTTCGCGGTACGTTTTATCTGATATTTGTAGTTACAATGGCTTTCTTTTGGCTAGTCTATGCATGGTATGTATTTTTCCTTTTTTTTTTCTTTTTATCATTATATTTAAAGTGCATATCTTGTGAGTAGCACAAGGTTTTTTTTGAAGAATTAAAATCTAGAATTTTTATGTAGATTGATGTGGCTTTGGTTTGGATTGGTAAGTATTTTTTATAACTTACTTTCCTTTTTATTAATTTGTTATTCATTTTTAACTTTTTTTTATTGGTCCCTCTACAGATTTCAAAATGCATACATGACAAATTATTTTTTCGTTGACCTCTCTAACAGTAATGGGGCCCTAAAACATTTAACCCTTTTTAACCTGCCCCCTTTTTTTGCACATTTTTTTAAATTTTTTTTTTTTTTAAGATTTTATTTATTTGCGAGAGAGAGAATGAGAGACAGAGAGCATGAGAGGGAGGGAGGGTCAGAGGGAGAAGCAGACTCCCTGCTGAGCAGGGAGCCTGATGGTGGGACTCGATCCCAGGACTCCAGGATCATGACCTGAGCTGAAGGCAGTCGCTTAACCAACTGAGCCACCCAGGCGCCCCTTTTTTGCACATTTTTGTCATGCATTTTAATTCTACATATATAAAACACACAATAAATTAATTTTATTTATATAGTAATGTTTATTCATGTTCTTTCATTTTATTCATTATCCTTTCTATTATTCTTCCTTCTTTCCTGTAATTCCATGTTCCCATATGGATTCTAGAGTCATTTTCCTTCTGCCTTTAATACTTCTTTTATAACATTCTCCTGGCTGTGAATTCCGATTTTGTTTGAAAACATCTTGATTTTAGTTTTATGTGGGATGGTTTTATTGGATATAAAACTCTAGGTTGGTAAAGTTATTTTCTTTGGTATTTTAAAGAAGGTATTACATTGTCTTCTGGCTTTTTTGTGTGTCTTGAAAAGTAAGCTATTACACCTTTGAAGTAATGTGGGAATTTTTCCCCACTTTGTTGCATTTAAGATTTACTCCTCAACTTTGTGTTTAGTAATTTACTCTTTATACCTAGATGTGGTATTCTTGGATTGATTCTATGTTAAATTTTCAGGGTTTCCTAAATTTGTAGGTTGATATTTTTCATTAGTTTTGGAAACTAATAATGGAACTATAGCCATTCTTTCTTTGAAACTTTCAGTGAAACTAATGGAACTATAGCCATTCTTTCTTTAAACAGTACTTATGCCCCATTATCTGTTTTTCTGGATTTCCCAATTATATTCGATTTTTAGACGTGTATAAGATTTTTTAGATTTTTAGACTCATGTATCTTGTGCTTATTTTGATATTTTTAATTCTTTTTTTTTCCTCTCTCTCTAATTTGGATACTTTCATTAGAAATGTCCTCTAGTCTGCTAATCCTGTCTTATGTGTTTACATTGATGTTAAAACTATTTGAAACTTTATGAAAGACATAACTTTCAAAAATTTTTTGAAAGACATAAAGTACCAAAACTAACTCAAGAAGAAGTTGATAAACTCAATAGCTGTATATCTATTAAAGAAATTGAATTTGAAGTTAAGACTCTTACATAAAACACCAGGCCCAGATGGTTTCTCTGGTTAATTCTACCAAACCTTTAAGAAAAACCTAATGGCAGTTTTACCAGACAGAAAGTAGAAGAAAAACTTCCTAAGTTCATTTTATGACATCAGTATTTTCCCTAATGTCAAAGCCAGACAATGACATTATAAGAAAAGAAAAATACAGAGCGAAAACCCTCATGAACATATATGCAGAAATCCTCAACAACATACTAGCAAATCAAATCCAGCAGTATATAAAAATGAAAGTATATCATAATCAAGGGTCTCATTCTAGAAATGCAATATAAATTCATCTTATTGACAGGTTAAATAAAAAGCATATTTCTTCTGTATGTCATTTCAATAAGCACAGAACAAGTATCTAACAAAATCCAACTCTATTCTTGATAAACATTCTTAGTAAAGTTGAGGTCAGAAGGGAACTTTATCAACCTAATGAAGAACATCTTTGAAAACCTACAGCTAACACTTTGTAGCTAATGGTGAAAGACTGAATATTTTCCCCTAAATTCAGAAACAAGGATGCCCTCTCTTAACATTCCTTTAACACCATATTGGGAGTCTTAGACAATGCAGGAAGATAAGAAAAAGAAATAAGAGGGATACAGGTTGGAAAATAAGAAAAAAAAAAAAAACACATATTTGCAGAGGATATTATTTTGCAGAAAATTCCACAGGATCTCCAGAAAAGCTCCCAGAACTAGTAAGTGAGGTTAGCAAGGTCACAAAATATGAAGAAAGTCAATTTTTTCCTATATATCTGAAATGAGTAGTTGGAATTTTAAATTAGGAAATCCATACTATTTACAATAGCACCAGAAATTGAAGTCCTTAGGTATAATCCTAATAAAATATGTGCAGCGTTTGCATTTTGAGAACTACAAAATGCTGTTGAAAGCAATCAAAGAAGATAGAACTAAATGAAGAACTACATCATGTTCACAGATTGGAGGACTCAGTATGAAGATGTCAGTTTTCCCCAATTTGATGTCTAGATTGAGTGCAATCATAATTAAAACCCTATCAAACTTTTTAATAGAAATTGACAAGCTAATTCTAAAAGTATATGGAAAAGGCAAAGGAAATTGAAAAACCAAAAACAATTCTGAAAAAGAACAAAGTTGGAGGACCCAGTAACCAATTTTAAGACTTACTATAAAGCACAACAATGAAGACAGTGTGTTGACTAAAGCATAGACCCATATGTCAAAGGAATAGAATAGATAACCTCAGAGATAGACCCACATCAATACTGTCAACTGAGTTTTGACAAAAGTGCAAAGTCAATTAAGCAGACACTTTGCATTTGTTGTCTTTTCAATGCATAGTTCTGG